CTCTTGGAAGAGGATTATTTTCTTGCCTCTCCTTTCCATTCTTGTCTAACTAAATCCTAGATTATCTGCTGCTGTTAAGGATCCCCCCAATCCCAGAGTTCTCATAGGGGAAAGACTTCCGTTTCGAGTTAGATGAAATACTGACATGAGTTCAAGAAGTTACACCCTAGTCTCCAATGACATTTGACTGTGAACTGGAAGGCTTCTTCTGGTTTGAGGAATTAAGTCCTGGAGCATCCAGCTAAACAGTGTAGCAAAGGCAAGGGTCCTAGCTGGTTTAAGATGCTGCTCAGCAAGATTACGGGAAAGGGTGTATGACAGGCTAGAGGAATGTGTAGAACGGGTAAATTAACTTCTGGTGGTAGCCAATACTTAGCTTTTGCCAAGGGAAGGAATCATTTGCTGCTCAAGTCAGCAGCAACTTCAGCAACTTTCTGGTATTCCCTGCCTTGCTTTGCCGATACACAGGTCGTTTTCCAGGATCCAGTTCCTGCTTTTTCCCAATAGCACATGGTAAGTGTTGCTTCTCCTCTCACCGTTGGCCCTGGTATTTGCTCTTGGGATCTGGGCAAGGTGGGGTTTTTTTGTTTCTAGTGGCTGGAAAGCTCCTCTGAGCTCACCTGGACTGGCAGGCCACAGGCTGAGGCAGGGAGTCTCCGGCTGTACGGGCTCACAGCGAAGTGGGTCGGAAGGAAGAAGGTTCAGGCTTTCAGGAAGGCCTTTTTGCTGGTGTGCAACTGCCTTTGAAGGCATGCACCTCAAGTTTCTTTTTCCTCTCCTTTCTGCACCCCCACCCCCACCCCCCCACTACAAAGTTTACAATGGAAAATGAACAAATCAAGTTCAAATCTGCCTCCCACATTCCTTCCCCCCCTCCCCAAAGGTGCAACCTGGGACAGATTTCAGCCTCAGCTGCTGTGATTGCTCAGTCTCTCACCTCGCTAAACTACTTTCACCTTTCCTTTTTTTAAAAAAAAAATGTTTAATGTAGGGGCCTGGTGCCAAAATCCTTTAGCATCGTGGGAAGGTGTTATCATCTCCAAACAAACTACTCCTCACCGCTTCCAGGGAAGACTTACGCTGTGGGCTCCATATTTCAGGAGATTGGCACAAGTAGCTGAAATGACATCATTTAAAGACATTGCAGGCTATCCCAAAGAAGCCATTGCCTGTTAATGAGCAGTTTTGGAAAACGAGTAGCAAAGCATTTTTCGGTATATTTGTATGTTCTGGGGTCTGTGTAAATCCAGCCAATGTTCACATTGCCACAAATATGATTTACAGCTGAGGGTCTCTAGAGAACCCAGACAGGCATGGGTGGAGATAGGGAGCCAAATCTTTTGCATAAATTTATTAATGTACAATGAAAATATATGGTAAATGGGTGTCGTTAGGTGAGAGCACCTAGCTAGATGTCGGATCTATGGGGTGTCATAGGTGGGAAAAAATAGCTTGAACGCCAATAGGGGGTGGATAATCAGGTGTGCAACGCGTGAGTGTCCCAAACTGAACTTTCAACCTCCCAGGCGGAAGCGGCTGCTTGTGAACTACAACCGGTACGGGGGCCAGTTGTAAATTTTACTACCACCTGGACTAAACCAAGGTGGCACATCCCAAATTCTCCAGTGAACAAGGGGTCATGAGACACAAGCAATGCTGAGGAGCCTGCTTGTGCCTCGTCCTCCTGCACACCGATGGTTTGGACTGGGGGAACCAGGGCCTGGCAGCTGGTGCCAAAAAAGGCTTAAAAACCCCCCCCCCCCCCAACCCCAAAACAATGGTCTGGGCAGAAGATTAAGGTCTTGGTTAGAGGAAAGCTCCTGGAAGTGAGGGCTCTGCAGGCAGATGAATGCTATGAGATGGCAAGGGCCCTCAGGCAATCCCTCCATTGGCTTATTTGGTTTGACAAACCCAAAACCATTTGACACATACAGATGAGAGAACGGAATAATTTTACATGCTGTCACTGGTGGAAAAGAGTCTGGGTTTTGCAATTTTTTTTAAACTTTTATTTATTTTTTTAGAAAAGGAATAAACTCTGCATGGTAGAGTGTACGGTATATCATTTCAAAACAGAACAAGTGATATGGAATGGATTATTTTCCCAAACTATTTGAAGTTGAACCTAAAATCATTTGTAAATCAACACTCATTACCATGTAAGACAAAGGCAAACAATCAACATGTTTTTTGTTTGGTACAGATTTCCTCTACCACTTCAGCCTGAATTTTCCCAGGGTTGGGGAGAGAAGGGGGGCAAATCCTGCCCGTTGTCCTAACCATAACTGTACTGACCAAGCTTTGTGCTCTGAGATCTAGCATCATATGGCTTTATATACGTTCCTAAGTGAACAGTGCAACATCATCACCATCTTAAGTGTTTATTCCACATTCAAACTGTAACTGAACATCACTCCGAAACCCTTTCCCGCCCCCAAAACAATGATGACGACGAGAACAACAACAAAAAGCAGAAAGTCTCCAGCAATCAGATTTCATCCCAGAAATCTGTGTAAACTGTAGATCAGGGTTGGGTAGCAGCACAGAAGACAAAAGATGTGACAGCGTGATTCGATAGCGTCTCTAAAGACTACTGTAAGACTGTCATTCTTTAGTCTGCATCTTGCAATCACAATTTGCTTTTTCCCTGCAATACTATAAAGCAACGTAAAAAAAAGAAGAAAAAATCAGACTCAAAAGCAAAAGGTAGAAGCTTTTACGGAAAGGTAAAGCTTCTGCTTAGCCTTGAGTGGTCACTATTAGAAACAGATCTCTGCAATCAGAAGCAAATCTTGAACGTATATACACAATTTCGGTGGGAAGGGATGCAGCCAAGGATAGAAGCCCTCCTGGCAGACCCACAGACCGTTTTGGCTTGTAGGTCAACGCTACACTGCCGTTCTGGGTTGAATAAACCAGCAGGGCAGCCGTAGGTGTTAGGTGCACTCCAGGCTCTTGGCTTTTCTGTTCCTTGGCTGCATGGGGGCCAGGAGGAGGAGGAGCAGGAGCGCTGGCGAGGGCTCCCCCTCCCCTCACTCCGCAGCCGGCCGAGTGATGCGTGGGTTGCAGCGGCATGGGGCGTTGCACTGGGGAGGTAGGTGCACGCTTTTCTCTTTACCCCCTCCTCCCCAATCCTGCTGGAATGTTATCTAATCAGTAATTAGATAAGTATTAACAATAACTGTAAGCTAGCATAGTCACCCTCCCCCTTAAAATGGAGGGAGAACAATGGCATCAAACGAATTCCCATTTGTCCTGACATGTGTAACCTTTCCAGATCCTACAGAGCAATCATACGCAGGCGTTTTTCATACTAGAATTTAAAGGAGTCGAAGCTGGTAAAGAAACTGGATGTTTCCTGGCCTAACTGAAGGAAAGAATAAAGCTGATGAAAGTAAGAGCGAAAGGAAGTAAGCGTTAGTGTGTTTACATCCTCTGGTATGTCCCACTTCTCTACGTTCTGCTCACAAGCCCTTTCCACACTCTGAGCAAGCACTCCCAAACTTAGAGAGGTAAGGCTTCAGCTAAAATCTCATGCCTGAGATTTTAATTTTCTTTTTTTTTTTTTTCTTATAATTACCCTAAGTATTCGACTTTACCAGATCCGTGTGAGGCATGTTGAGGGCAAGGCTTGTTAAGTGAACCAGCACAGGAGAAGATTGGACAGGGGTGTAATCTCCCAGGGTACCAACAACTGAACAATGTCCGTAAGCATGGTGCTAGCTCAGCGTGTATGTAGCATCAGGGAGCTTGGATGAAACCCTCCAGCCTTCTGGGTGTCCAGTCAGAACCAGGGAAGCTGCAAGAAGTTTTACTATAAAACTCCAGTACTGAAATGTCTAAAGGAACCGGACCTTTAACTTCAAAGGGCGCTGATTTTAGGTTTTGCACAGTCAATTCTAGTTAAAACCCAAAAACTTTAATGGTAGCTGATGCCCCTGCTGTTGGAGCCTTAAGACACCTGTTATACTGCTAAGCCCTACTCTTTTTTTTTTTTTTTTTAAATAAAACACTGTTTTAAGATACAGCACAATAAATGTGCTTATTACGCACTCTAACATAGAGCACAGAAATACAACACTACAGAGTGCAAGTCTAACCATCTCCACAGTGGGAAAAGTGCGAAGGTTAAAAATATGCATGTGGCTTAACACAAGATATTTTTAAAAAACATGACATGGAAATCTCACACTAATGCTTTCGTCTTTATCACAAACATGACTGAAAACTCAAGGTCAGTTGCTGATCCTTCTCTTGTAGTAGTAGTAGTGTAATCCTTTCAAAGGTACGATGTTGGAAAGATCAGAGAATAAAAAAACCCAAGTGTCCAAAAAATGATCCCATTTACCACTTTTCCAGTAGTTACGTTTTGCAAGAAGTAAACACGTAAGGTCACCTTGATCTTCGCCATCGGTAACTGATACACTCGGAAACAGCTAAGCCAACCACCTGGACTGAGATCAGTTCGGTGTCGCACACGCACACACACACGGATACACACACAAACACCCCACAGGAAAAAGTGCACTTTCAATTGCTGATACAAAAATAGATTGGCACATTCTTTTTGACACAGTGAAGATATCCTCTTTAAAAGCTTTTTCACGTTAAGAAGTCCTCTTGGAAATTGCAGCAGGTCTGTAGAAAAAGCGCTATGAGAATGCACTCACGTGGGCTTCCAGGGTTTGTGTGATGGAGAGAGGGGTGGTCACAGAGGCTGCCCTTCAAATTTTTGCCTACTTTTATAGCTGTAGTCCCCACAGGTAGGGTCAGTCACCACCCAGTTTCAGCACATTAACCATTTACCAACAGCTCAGTCTTCACCTGCTTTGAGAAAGTAATGACACGTAAATCTGTCAAAGCTGAGAGTCTTAATGTCGACGCAGTGTTTGCTTTATGTTGCCGGAAAAACTGTTTTGGGGGGGAGAGAGAGAGAGCGAAGTGTTAGGAGTCTGATTTTGCATTTCCAGTAGTAACTGCGGCTCAGGAGAGCCAAGCGGGAAGTCGGGAGCCCCTTCCCCGCAGGGCAGCCAGCGCTAGGAATTCTGCACCAAGCGTCTGTAGTGTGGCATCACTTCGTGCTCAGGAAGGTGGAGAGCAAACTCCAAGGCCACCAGCACCGGGAACTCAAAGGCGATCAGCTCTCGCCTGTTCAGCCGGAACTTCTCTTCCAGTTTCTGCAACAACAGCCGAGGAAGGGGGGGGGGGGAAAAAAAGTCTTTGTGAACGAGGATTTGACTTTCTAAGTGCTTTCTTACAGAGGACGTTATTCAAAACACGCATGCTGCTGTCATTAAACCTCTGCCCTGCTGGACTTGCGCGGCTCTAGGTTTAGAAAATGAGAGCAGGATGAACTGGATGTACTGATTCCTTACTGTGAAGGTGAACTTACAAAGGACGCTATTTCTGACATGTTTGCCATTTCACACATTCCATCTCCAGCAGATACGTCTTCTAACGATCACAGTGATTACCACTGCAGGAAGAGGAAGCTCCTGGCTTTCATGCAAACATTGAAAACACTTGTGTAATGGAAGACACGCACCTCGTAACTGCCCACAAACTTCCTGCGCTGCTTGAAATCACTAATTTTCCTTTCAGCATTAGACTGTGTTACAACACCCTGTTGGGGAAATTATTTCTGCTACAATTAGATGCATTTGATTCTAGTACCTCAGAGGCAGAAGGTATCATCTGCAGCAACCATAAGAACAGTGAGTAACAGGAAACAACTGTCCTCAAGGGGGATGAGATGGGTTTCAGAGTTGGCTTTCTGCTGTAACATACTAAACCTCCCATCTGCTCTGCTGTTTTCACTGGATTTTGATGCTACCAGTAGGCAACCAGCTGTTCAGGGATATTCCCCCCCCCCCCTCGCCATTTTCTTATGATCCTCCTGGCTTGCTACTTCTCTGCCCACTGGGTCTACTGAAAAGCTCAGTGTGGCTGAAGGATGGACCAATGTTTCAGGATAGCAAGGGTGGCCAGATCTTCCAACTCCCACTGGGTTGATTTTTTCTTTTCCTGGTTATTCAGAGAGCTTTCTAACAAACTCACTGTCAAGCCAGCTCTGTGACTGTGGAAGAAGTGCATGAGTCCAGTTCTGCCCCCCAACCAAGCTTCCATGTCTCTTGAACTAAGTCAGTTGGTTGTAGCCAAGCACCCTGCCCTAACTCCGTAGCGTTAAATCGGATTGGTACCTTATGGAATTACACTACCTTCTGTTAAGTCTTTCATATGGAGTGGGTGGAAGACCAAACACCTTACTCTGAAAAAAAACACTTGGGGTGAGGTGTTCCAATGGGAACACTTCTTTAAGTTTTCTTAAGCTTAACTTGATGAAAGAAATACAAACTTGGTAGTCTATTAAGACTCCCTCTGAAATTAGGATCTGCATTTACCTTACTGACACTCCTGAAAACATAATTGAAAGCAAAATTAATCACCATGATCCTGAGGGTTAACTTTTTACTTGTGTTGACTGAGAATGATGGTCAGATACCTCTCAAACCTCGCAGTATCTGACACCAGGGACTTCAATCACATCAAACAAGCTTCCCGCGCCTCTGCAGTGACACTGATCACTACTACTTTCACATAAATGTATAATAAAAAAAGGTATTTAGCTGGCCGTACATCTGGAAACCTAGAGAAGAGCGTGACCGCTGACAAGCAGGCTTGCGTAGACCACACACTGGCACTTCATGTAGAAGGAACACTGGAAACCTATGGATACGTACATCTATAAGATGCTTGACTTCATGTTTTCTGAGGTCACTGCCAATTTTGGCTGCTAAAAGAACACAGGCTCCAGCACAAAGCTTTCTATTCTGCTTGTTCAGCTTCCCCTTGAGAGCGAGCTTCTCAAAGTAGACAAAGGCCATGGCCACTGTGGGCTCTTCAAAACCACATTCTTCTTGAGCAAGCTTGCGCATTTCTCTCTTCAAGCTGAGTAAAGAGACCAGACAAGTATGCTGTGAACTGCGTTTTAAAGTATTTCTCATTTCACCCTGAGAGTCATCCTTTCAGAGATTCCTGCTTAGTCAAATGGAGGGGAAAAGGGAATCGTAATTTGCTGAGCAGGTATCTTTATGCTCTCTTTTGGGGACACATTTCACGGCACATTTTGACCTCACCCTTCCCCCTCACTGCCCCCAACAGATAGTTGTGTCAAACTATAAAAGCAACTGAAAAGCTTTGACATTTTTAGTAACAGTATTTCATCAGAGGTCTTAAGCTGCATACAATTTAGTAGCAACAGCTTGATTGCTTGTGCTCTATATACAGCTTTGCTGCTGGTTATGGTTGTTCAAATCCAAACCGACAGTCCTCCCATGTACTGCAGTACTGTCTGGTTACAGAGCAACACGACTCGGTATCCTTCTGGCCACTTCAGTCAAACAAAATTATCACCACTTCAGTGAAGCAGTATGTCTAGCCTGCTATACTAGAAACAGCGATGAAGTACTGCAAGTTTGCTGTGAAGCTGGCCACTTGTTTTGCTCCTGGCCATCCTCTCTGGACAAGGCACAAAAGTCAGCATTTCTCCTTCCTGAGTCTCTTTTTAAGCTAAGTGCCATGAGCTTAGAGACTCTGTTGTGTTATTTTTCTGGGTATTTTAGTATAGTGCATGGCCAACTCGCATCCCCTCCCATTAGATGCCATGTTTGACACCTGACCAGTGCGTGTTTGTACATCCCCCGTCTTGTTTACTCAGCCCATTAATCAAAGAAATCATCTGACTTATTCTGCACCTCTGCCAGTCCCTGCTCCTGGAAGATCAATCAGTGCTGTGCTTCCCCTCATGTACAGCAGCAATTGCCCTGAAATGTCAGACAGCTGCATCACATTGCAGCCTTGCCAAGCTTTGCAACGTACCTTCTTATTTTACTGAGGGTTAACTTGATGTGAGGGAACTTCTCCTTAAAGGTCTCATTCATGTCCTTCTTGAGATCTGATGGCTTCACATAGTCTATGACTGTGGTCTGTAACACATGGTCAAGAGAGAATTGCTCTTTTAGTTTGTAACAAACAAGATCACTCAATTCCCAAAAGTATGGAACACCAAACAAATGCCAGTCAGTCCCAATGTTTTCAGTAGAGGGGAAAATTAAGTCTGAATCAAGGCAACAGTTTGTTTGCAACTCCTCCGTCAGAACGAGTGACCTGAAACCTGAGACCGCTGTTCAGCACAAGCCCCCAGTGACACATACCTTAGCAGGATCCTCCAAGTATCACTAAGAGTGAGTTTAAGCTAAATGTGGACAGATAAAACGTAGCTGAGAAGTTTCATTACACCAAAAAAAATCATCATGACAACTGATTTGATGGCCACACTTTGTGCGCCTATCTCCATGCGGTTCTGAGACATATTGTGAGTTTCTCTCAAACTGATTCTTCAAAGGAACCACTGGTACAAATTCTTGACTCCTATAGCATACGTTTGTGATAAAACAGATAATTAGTCTACGTGGCAGCTCATTCAGTAGAGTGCAAGGTAGTAATGCTGTCATAAGCTAGGCAATAAGGGGACAAAATCATTGAGTTAGGACAACAGTCAAGTGGACAATCTATTTCCTTTACATTGAGCTTGCTATTCCTCTTTGTCACAATCTGAAGAATTTCACCAAGTAGCAAAGGATCCCCCCAGCCTCTTCCTGGCTTTGGCTGTTCTGCCCCTCAGACGGAAGCAGAGAAGAGCTCCTGCTTGGGCAGCCAGGGGACAACCTGTTCCCCAGGCACCCATCTCCCGGCCAGCTTCAGGCACAGGCAGTGGGAAAGCAGCAGTCTGCCATGCAGTGCATTCTCCTTCCAGCAAAATCATTTTTCCTTTCTAATTTCTGTTTATGATTAACCCATACTATGGCAAAGGGCTGTTAACGCTAAACAACAAGACGTGGGAAGAGGCGTGCAAAACACTTGTTGCGTGTTAAGCCTTTATAGGAGATGGAGCATCGCTGTATTCATAGAATCATTTGCTTGGAAAAGACCTTTAAGATCATCAAGTCCAATCGTATGTGTCCACTACCAAACCATGTCTTTAAGCACCACATCTACCCATCTTTTAAATACCTCCAGGGATGGGGACTCAACCACTTCCCTGGGTAGCCCATTCCAGTGCCTGATAACCCTTTCAGTGAAAAATTCTTTCCTAATATCCAATCTAAACCTCCCCTGGTGCAACTTGAGGCCATTTCCTCTCATCCTATCGCCTGTTTACCTGGGAGAAGAGATTGACACCCACTTCACTACAGCCTCCTTTCAGGTAATTGTAGAGGGCGATAAGGTCTCCCCTCAGCCTCCTCTTCTCCAGGCTAAACAACCGCAGCTCCCTCAGCTGCTCCTCATAAGACGTGCTCCAGGCTCCTGACCAGCTTCCTTGCCCTTCTCTGGACATGCTCCAGTGCCTCAATGTCCTTCTTGTAGTGAGGGGCCCAAAACTGAACACAGCATTCGAGGTGCGGCCTCACCAGTGCCGAGTACAGGAGCACGATGACTTCCCTGCTCCTGCTGGCCACACTATTCCTGATACAAGCCAGGACGCTGTTGGCCTTCTTGGCCACCTGGGCACACTGCTGGCTCATATTCAGCCGTCTGTCGACCAGTACCCCCAGATCCCTCTCCGCCAGGCAGCTTTCCAGCCACTCTTCCCCAAGCCTGTGGTTGTTGTGACCCAAGTGCAGGACCTGGCACTTGGCCTTGTTGTAACTCATACAGTTGGCCACAGCCCATCAATCCAACTTGTTCAGGTCCCTCTGTAGAACCTTCCTACCGTCAAGCGGATCAACACTTCAACCTAACTTGGTGTCATCTGCAAACTTGCTGAGGGTGCACTCAATCTCCTTGTCCAGGTTGTTGATAAAGATGTTAAACAGAACTGGCGCCAGCACTGAGCCCTGGGGAACACCACTTGTGACCAACCACCAACTGGATTTAAGTCCATTTACTACCAGCCTTTGGGCCCAGCCATCCAGACAGTTTTTTACCCAGCAAAGAGTACGCCTGTCCAGGCCATGAGCAGCCAGTTTCTCAAGCAGAATGCTGTGGGAAATGGTGTCAAAGGCTTTACTAAAGTCCAGGTACACTACATCCACAGCCTTTCCCTCGTCCACTAAGTGGGTCACCTTGTCATAGCAGGAGATCAGGTTAGTCAAGCAGGACCTGCCTTTCATAAACCCATGCTGACTGGGCCTGATTCCCTAGTTGTCCTGGACGTGCTGTGTGATGGCACCCAGGATGATCTGCTCCATGACCTTCCCTGGCACTGAGGTCAGACTGACAGGACTATAGTTCCCCAGATCCTTCCTCCAGCCCTTCTTGTAAACAGGTGTCACATTTGTCAACCTGCAATCAAGTGGAACTTCCCAGTCATCCAGGACTGCTGACAGATGATGGAAAGGGACTTGATGAATGCCTCTGCCAACTCCTTGATTATATAATAGTGGGAATCTAAATCAGGCAGAGACTGACTGCATATGCTTGCATGTTTTTTTCAATAATTAAAATAGCATATGGAAGGTCTTGGGGAAGAGAGAGTGTAATGGCTCTAGAGAGCAATTGGATGACTCTCGTTACCTGAGCATGTTCTTGTCTGGATCCAAAATGAGCATGAAGGGGAGTAAAACACACCTAACTTTTCCTCCACTTTCTTTAGGAGATATGGTACTGAAACAATGGATAATTATAGGAATTTAAAAGAAAGCAGAACATGTGTTCCCCCTGAATAGTGCTCAGTGCTATTTGAGGTAAACATACTGTAACAGAGAGTACAAAACCAATTTCTTGCTACTGGGTGTTGTTACACTCATACACACATTTTAAAATGTGGGCCATTCTGCTATCCGATCTACAGCGTGAGAAGCATCATCTGTCCAGATAACTTGCTCCCCACTATGTCCCGGCAGGTAATTCCGCTGGTCACGTCATGCACAACAGTTGTCTGCCGTCTTCCTAAGTATAAATGCTTGTGAGCCCCCTCCAACACAGTTATGTGTTAGGCCCCAGTCAAAATCTTGCTCAGTAAAGGGGATAATTTATTAAGGAAATTCAGTCCTATTACAGAATGCTGCCAGTTTTAAGAAAACATCAGAAAGGAGAAAGCCGTATCAACCCTCTTCAGTCACCCCTGCTGCCCTGCATGTGTACGGATGAGCTCCAGAGCGGGTCCGGGCAGACACGGCGGTGCTATTGAGGTTAAAAATTCATACGCCGCCTTGATGCTGAGGCAGGCAACGTGCTACCACGCCTGAATAAAAAGAAGAGAGGAAAGGACAGGGAGGAGAAACCTTGCCCTACCCAGGGTCGGAGGGAAAGGCTTCCACCGAATGTGCGGGTCTGCCTGGTTCTAATCTCGCTGAAGTCAGAAGGACATACGCACAGACCCACGCGGCCATGGCTCTTCATCACAGGCAGCTTCTCATGAGCTTCATCTCGCCTGGCAGGGCTCAGCCCTCCAAAGCAGAAGAATGAAGATCTTGCCAGCTACTCGTCTCCCTTCTTTCCCTGCGACGTTGCCGCCCGCCTGCCCACTCCTTGGTTTGTTGCCAGAGGATCCTCAGCAAGTCGGGTGCTTCTGACACACAGGTACGCTGGGAGTTTTGTGTGTTATTAAGAGGGTTCCTCCTAGTACAGCTGTAACAGGACTGTTGAAACAAGCCACGTAACATAGTTTAGACCAGTGCTGTCTGCTACTCAATGTACTGAAGGACTGGTCCATGCTGCTCTTACTTAGAGAGTCAAGGGACACGGAGCACATAAAGGTTACCCGCTATTAAATTCAAAGATGATTTTAGTTACTACTGGCATTTTCTGGCTGTCTCGGGCAGTGATAGAAAGAGCAAGCTCGGTGCTACTGTGCAAAGCTACATGACACCTTATTTCATGCTTCGCTGCAAACCTAACTGCTTGTTGTTTGCCCTCCATTACCACGGAGCTCCTTAGTTTTATCTTAATTATCTCCCTATGATCATGGGTGTTTCTGGTAGACTTGCATTCGGCTCTCTCCGGGTAATCATCTTCCCTCGCGCAGAGGGAGGATGCAATCACACACGAACCTTGCCGGCACGACAGAAACTACTTGGCTGCAGAAAGGGCACGGCAGTGGAAGGAGGGCCTGACCATCCTGCAGGACTCAGCTGCACAGAAATTATTCTGGACAGCAAGTTTCAGTTGCTTTTACCTCTAATGAGTAGGTGCCAGCATGACCCCAGCTCTGGGGGCGACTGCGCAGCGGGGGAGCGAGCCCCGGGCTCTGCCACACAGCAGCAGCAGCCCCCCGGCGTGCACCTTTCCCCACGGCCGCTCTGCAGGCACCGTCTGTTTTACCTGGGACTCCTCCAGCCCCTGGGAGGTTTGCCAGAATTCAGCTAAATTATCTTCAGAGGGGGAAAAAGCTCTTTTTAAAAAAAATTTTATTTAAAGCAAAGCACTCAGAGGCTTGAGAGTAAGCAGACAGCTTAAAACTGAAAATGGTAAGGAGGTACGGCTATTTTTAAACAGAGAGATTTGTCAGTTTTGTCCCATTGATAAGAATCTCCCCAACTCCGTATACTGCCGCTTCCTGCAAGACAACAGTCTCTACGACATAAATCACAATAATGAAATCCAGATGAAAGCTGGTGTGTGCTGGGTTTGATTCATGTAACAGGATAATGGCAGCATGTTTGAACACACTGGCTCTAAGGCAGCTGTCTCATCTTGTCAGGGCCATGCTGGAGAGCTCAGCTAACTGCCCTTGTTCTCCAGAAAAGAAATTGTGCAACTTCTGGGTTTTTTTTTCTTTCCCCCCCTTGGTTTTTTTTTTTTTGCCCACCTTTGTCTGGGCAGTGGGACACTGCTTGCCCAGCTGGTGCCAATAGAAACACGTGCACATGGGACCCTGCCCATCAGAGAGGCAGGCAGCAGAAGAAAAAAAAAAGAATATCTGTTGACAGGCAATTTAAAAGTAATGCCGAATTAGTGTCTGTTGAGGGATTACATCAGTTAA